AACATTATGAGCATCTATTATTACTTAATTCAATGTTTTTTGAGTTTTTCAAAATATTCTCCTTTTCTTTATAACGACGGAAAAGAAATCCAATATTGCATATCTTCTAGATTACATGTTTCTGTAATAGAGTTCAATGTTGAATAAAAAAAATTTCATAAGACTAATCCAAAAACTAGTAACTAATAAATTTCCATTAGATTGATCAGAGACCGAAAATGATAAATAATGATTTGAAGCATTTCATGATTTTCCAGTTGGGGCTTTAATCGAATCTAGAATGGAAATGGGGTAACTGTTAACGATTTCCAAATTGTGTAGTTGTTGGCAGTTTGTTGATATTAATTATGGAATACGTTCATTTTGGAATGTAAATATTGATTAACACCTGAAAACAATTAAAACTGGATTCGAAGTGGATTACCTGTATTCAGTGCGAATGGAAAAATCATCACACAAGTCAAATCGAGTGTGTGAATATCATTTTTACTCGTAAAGCATGAAGAGAAATCTCGAGAGGAAATTTGACGACAGTTTTCTCAATAAATCCTAGATTGTTCATTAATAATTCATCGAATTTTGTTCAGTAGTTTTCAATTATATACTGAAAACTAATAAAAAATAAGACATATTATTTTCTGACTTTCAATAAATTTTTACAAAATCAAATATGATGATTAATATAAAACTATATAAAACACCACGTTCATCAGCCTGAAACCTGGAAAAATCCAGATAATTCAGAAATTCATTTAGCAAATGACTTGAATGTATCATAATTTGATAAAATCACCATGTCCAAGGTCTAGGTTATTAATCTTGTTAATTTAATTTTATTGTATGTTTGTGTCAATGTTCCTGTAAAACCCTGTATGAAAACAATTGGGAGTGTGATTTGTAAATAAAAAAAGTTGTTGACGGTACGAAAATTATCATGCTATCATGCTAAAATCTATGTTCAAATATGCTGAATCAGAAAGCCCTGGTATATCTGTATCTTCAAAATAAGACGAAGAAATAAAAATACAGACCAGTAAATCGTCATTCATTGAAAATTGGGTTAATTCGACAAATGATAACATGGAGAAAACGCAACTCTACAGCCTCTGAAGATATGACGAAAAACCAGAAACTGAACAATTTCATTGCAAGACAGACGTTCAGCAAGGAACAATCAATATTTTCTGGACACCCTAGAAAGTGGATTGATTTCTTTATCAGTTCACAATAATAAAAAACTACAAAAATGTCTAAGGAGTAAATCCAGGGAATCTGCTGAGGCCTTGCTTAGTTTCAGTCAAGAAGTCGACAACATCATGAATACACTGGAAAAACGATTTGGTAGGTACTAAATAATTATATGAGACCTAATAAATTGTATAAGGAGGATTCCGGACTTGAGAGAGGATTGATTAGACAACATTTTAGACTTTTCCAACAAAATTAAAGAACTAGCAATTACTGTATTCGAAACGTGATGAATATTCGTTGCATCCAAACATTTTGAACGAAGCAGTGATCAAATAGAGAATAAATATAAGAGTAGAATGAGGTAAACAAATAACGGAATTGAAACGTCTGAAAAAGTCTGTCACAATTTTAGAATATTCTCTCTGGCTTGAAGAAATAAGTGAAGCCATAACGTAAGTTGTTCCTTGATAAAAAAAGAGATACATCCATTCAACCATAAAAATCAACAATCAGATGTAACTTCTGCAAGAAAGACAGACATAAAGTAGATATGTGCCACGACTTCGAAAAATCAGAAGTTGAGAAACGTTGGAACTGGGTAAAAAAATACAGTATGTTTCTTGTAAAAGCAAGAAAAATTGTGATATCAATGGCTGTCTTCACAAGCATCAACCTTTTATACATGAAGAAACAGAAACAGTACTAGAAAACTCCAAAGAGCAAGTACGCCATAATTCCACCAGAATCAAGAATTCTAAAGTTTTAATAAGAATTTCAGAACCGTATTTAGCAAATGACTTTGATGTATAATGATGTTACGTTTTTTCACGTACCAACCATTAACTATACTGAACAATCATCAAACTTAACTTTATTCCTCTTTATATAAAACAAACACTTTAACTAAAACTTCAACTGTTATTTGAATGACTATCGAATTACTTTTTCCTTTCCGATGTTGAATTCCAAAATCGAAAGTTTTGAACTTTTCGATCCCTTTTCGATCCACCTGGCTATTTGTCCCTCTGGGATTTTGAAGTTGAAATACCACCGAAGTGCTGAGTGGTCTGAACTAATAAAAAATTCACGTCCATATAAAAAGGANTTTCTTATTGGTTTCTTTGTTTTTGGTATCCTTATTTGTTTTGCAAGAGACTCTCCTACACCTACAAAAAATTGGTTGAATTCATTTGCTATATCATTTGCATTTGTGAGCACTGTATCTTTTGATATTACTATTTGGTCAATTCTTCTTTCATTTTTTTGATTTTTCATTTCATTAATTATTTGCCATATTTTTCTAGAGTCGTTTTTATTTTTCAACATTTTTGTCTTATAAAACTCAGCTTTTCTAATCCTTATTAATTTACTAACATACCTTTGAAATGCAAAGAACTCATTTTTGATTTCTATACTTTCAGGATGAGACTTGTGTTTTCTATGAGGAAAGTTTTTTCTGTTCATAGAATTCACAAGCCCCACTGTGATTCATTCCTTTCTTTTTCTATTTTTACTATTCAGTTTAATTGTTTTGGTATTTTTTTCGAGAGTGCCTTTTATTACATCGGTAAGATATTTGAGTAGTACATTAGGATTTTGTAACTGATAGAAACTACTGAATTCGTGGGCAGTTAAGTCCTCAATACATTTTTGGTAATTGATTATGCTTTTGACATCTTGAGGTAAGTGCTCATTCTTTTCTAAAAGTGGTATGACCGCTACTATTGCCTTGTGATCAGTTATGAGTGTTTCCAGGACAATTGATAAACATTTCTTTTCAAAATCGTTTCTTTTGCTCTTAATGAAAATATGATCTATACAACTTGCAGACACACCCTGTATACGCGTGTAGCTATTTATTAGTGCCCTGAAACCAAATTCACTAAAATTGTCAAGGTATGAATTAACCTCATCATTATCTACCTTAAAATCTATGTTCATATCACCAACTATTAAATGATTTTCAACTTGAAAAGTTCTAGTTCTATGCAGGTAAATTTTTAATTCTTTAATAAATTGATCAGAATCTATTTATTGATGGTGGCCTATAAATGGCAGTTATTAAGATTTTTTCGTTTTTATTAATTTGAATATTTATTTCTAGTACCCTACATCTGTAAATAGATACGACTTCACATGTATAACTCAAAGACTTTTTCACATACATAACCACTCCATCATTCTTATTTATATCTCCTTCGTTGTACAATAGGTCGTAATTGTTTAGTTGGATGAAAGAAACGTCATGCATTTTAAACGTTTCTGATAGTATTATGCAAACAAAATCTTGATTTATTTGACTCAAGAGTATTTTCATCTCATCAATATTTTTATTTATACTTCTTGTTTTGGTGAAATACTTTCAAAGATTTGCAATATTCGTAAGAATCTACAGTGTAATCGAATTCAGTAATATCATATTTTCATTGGTTATTACAGGTTGATAATGAAAATTTTGAATGAAATTATCCATTACGCTGGAGCACAGTACAATAATTGAAAATGTAAAAAAAAAATATGAAAATTTCAATTGAACAGAGTTATGAAAAGAAAAATAAAAAAAAAAATTCAACTGTGTATGTGAAGAATTTTTGACGTTTCTTGGAGGATTTTCTCTGGATGGTTTCCTTGGCTGGGTTACTTCGGGAGAGCTGATTTCTTTTCTTTTATTAGCACGATCCTGTTGGAAGGAGAATGAATGGGAATCCGATTTCAGATTCTGCAGTGTATATTTTTTATCATCCACTATCAAAAGATTTTGTCTGATAGATGCTGTTTGTCCGTTTTTTTTGCCAGATTTAAATAGGGGCGTAGAGCTTTGTGTGTAGCTTGATCTTCCGCACTCAGATCGTTGGTAATGGATAGACCTGTACCTTTCAGCTTTGAGGGATTCTTAAATACTACTATTTTTTTAAGATAGGACAGAAATTCAATTTTAAGGATGGATTTCTCAGTATTAGTGGCAATATAATAGATATTGTTCAAGTCTGCTGGAGTGAGTTCAATGTTGAGTATGGTGCTTATATGTTCCAACGCCTTCAATTTGTCAGAGATTTTCACTTCAAAAATGATTATATTATTTTTCCTTCAATGAGTGCCTAACTTCAACACTCTGTTCCTCAAAGTAACAGTTTCTTGCTCCACTTGTGATATTCTAATATTATAGGATTCCAGATCTTTTTTACCTCGGTAAGTAATTGTTGATGATCGTCAGACTTTTTATCCAATTTGATCAGCAAGTGATGTAGGTCAGCAAGTGTTCCATCTCCCATCGTTGTCGACTGAATATTGTTTGATTCCGTACCAAAATGTAAAGTGAAAGTAATGGAATTTTGTTTTTCTGTGATAGGGTTATGGTTTTTGTAATCACGGGTTTTTTGTTCGTTTCAAATCAGGGTCGACAAAGGCGAGTTTAATGGAATATATTATTTTATATTTAGTATTACATGCACTCCCACCTTATATTATTTATTTCTTATAATCCTTATGGTGTAACTTCGCACGCTGACCATTTGGGGAGAAGTCTGATGTTGCTAACTATGTTTTATTTTGATTTACGACACTATTTCATAGAGCACAAATTAAACACGTCTGTATTCGACTACACTTCGAATTTGTGATCTTTTAATTAAATTTATTTCATTACCATCTATATTTGATTCATATTTCACTCGGAAATACATCTGAAATTCATAATTATTTTGAATTTCTTTTATTACTGTTTGAATCTACCGCTACTCTTTTATTAGAGTCTGTATATTAACCTGTCTATTAATTCACTTTTTTTCCAGTTACTTTTAAATTACGTCATGCAAGCCAATGCTTTGATGTTACAACTTTGTTATCCTTTACAGTTGCAAATTTTAGTTTTGCTCTAGAAACATTTTCTTCTGTTAAAAACATTCTTTTTTAATTGTACTTTACCATATGTTTATATGAGGATTAGGCAGTGTTTGTCCCTACCGAACTAATAGCGCTGCTAGTGAGTGATTTTTTGTACTTCAGGAAAAAGCTTCATTACACAAGAGAACAGAGTTTTTATTACATAAAATATTATAACTAATATTAAACATTTTTGGGGTGCTGATTTTAGATCAGAAGTAAGATTTTTTGTACTAGCCAATTTCATAGACAATTTCAATATTGAGTTGAAATGGCCATTCCATTTCAGATTACATTCAATCACTAGTCCAAGGTAGTGAATAAAGAATTTTAATTGTATACCTTTTCCGCAGGCCGGCAACCTGACTCAATCACGTCTTAAGCTCGTCAAGAACGTCAACAACCATGGCGTCTCTCTGGCGATCCAGAAGAAAGGCGTCAGCGTCGGGGTGCTCGCCCATTCACCCAAGCATCCAACCCCCCAGCAGCAACAGACAAAGGCGATCCTCAAGGCGACCATAACGGGCATAAAGCCTCTGCCGTCTCAGGACAGTAGTAAGCCGAAGGAACAGGTCAAGACAACCAAGCTGATTCCAGCGGAACCGTTGAAGGTCATTCAGCCAGCCACTCCGAGCAAGACGAAACAGGCGCAGAGCACGCTCTCGAAGACGCCACAGCAGAGTGCGGAAAAGAAGCAGAAGACGCCCGCCAGCAAAGAAAAGGTCGCCCAGGTTAAGGAGAAGGCTGTCGTCAAGAAGAAGGAGGAGCCGGCTACGGTGCAGCCGTCGCCAAAGCCTCAGGAGAACATCAGGTTAGTTTAAATAGGAACTTGAGCAATTCTTTCAGTTCATTCAAAATGTATTATTTTATGGAACAGAAATCACTGGCCTTGAGAATCAGTGTAAATAAAGTCAACCTGGTGTTTTTCCTTTAGGTTATCTAAAAGAAAATGTTGATGAGGCAATAAATTTGTAGTGCTAGACCGGATATAAAGCCATGTTGGTGTTCATTTATTATGTTCTGAATGTGAGTTTTTTTGTTATCAAACAGACTAGTAACTTGGGAATTTCAGATTGGATGGTAGTTTTTAATGTTTTCTCTATCTCCAGATTTGTGGATTGAAGTTAGAAAACTTTGCTTTCAGAATTCTGGAAAGGTTCCGATGGATGAAGAAAGATTGAATATTGTTTATAACGGTTTTGCTAGAGTGAATTTGCAGTTTTTTAAAAATTGTAATTCTTTTAATTCCATCCTTTCAACACTTGAGAACAGTTGAATTGAAGATTCATTTCAAAGATGGTTTCCAAACCATTGTCTTTAAATTTGAAATCTAATTTTTTCATGTATTTCTTTCAGGGAAAACGTACAGAAAACCATATTTGAACAATTGACCAGCAGACTAAAGGCAAACGACGACCTGAAGTTGTCCGAGGAGGAGGTCAAGACCATATCTGCCAACATTGAGACACAACTGTTCAGATGTTTTGGCGATACAGGTCAAAAGTATCGGAACAAGTACAGGAGCCTGATTTTCAACATCAAAGACGCCAAGAACCAGACATTGTGGCGCCGGATATGCGAGAAAGCAATCAATCCTTATGAATTGGTGAGTAACAGGACGCAGGGTTTTTATTAGGAGAGACAAAGAAAGCTCTTGTTGAGATGTGTGAGAAAATTGATTTCATTCAGGCTAGTTTTGATGTGTGAGAAAAGTGGTTTCATCAGGAGAGGCAGAGGTCTAATTCTGCGTAGAAAGTGTTTCCATTAGGTCTAGTTTTGGTTTCTGAGAAAAGTATTTTCATCAGCAGTTATAGCTCTAGTCTAGGTGCGTGGCAAAAATGTTTCTATCGGGAGAGTCAGTATTCTGGTTTGGGTTTGTAGAAAGTGACTTCTCTTTATGTCTAGTTTTGATGTGAGGAAAAACGGTTTTCATTAGATCTAGTTTCGGTGTGTTCGAAAGATATTTTCATTAGGAGAGATAGAGCTCTAGTTCTGGTGTTTGAAAACTATTTTCATTAGGTCTATTTCTGGTGTGGTTTGAAAGTGTCTTCATTAGATCAATAAGATAAGATAAGATAATATTTATTGACCAAAACGCGATACACTTGGTATATGTGGTAAGTCAAGGGTATATATTTAAAATATGACATTATGAGGACCCCAAGTCAAATAATCAAATGAGTAGTACATTCAGTGAACTTACATCGCAGTGATAAGGCACACACAAAATAAGCAAAAATATATACATAATAACAATGTTAGACTAGGAATGCCAGACAAAACTTTAAATTAAAATGTATTTGAGTTGTTTGGGAGATCGTCGTTCAAGAAGTCCTGATAACTATAATAGCATTTCTGTATTAGAAGGTTTTTAATATTGTTGTGAAATTTTAGGTTACTCTTGACCTTTTNTGCCATGTTTATTTTCTGTTTATGCTCTATCAATTTTGTTTTATAGCTTTCGAGAAATGTTGGATCAGCTTCATGACAATTGGACAGAAGCCAAAATAGATTCCTCAAGTTCTTTCCTTCCTCAATGATTTCCGGAGATATCCAACATTTATAGTTCTTTTTGCCGCATGCTCTCTTTTTTGGGCATGATATATCAAAATACCATAGAATTGTATTGATGAAATAGTTGAAAGCATCATTTAACGTCATGAGGTAAATTAGAGTCCAGTCTTCACTTAGAAGCTTTGTTCGGAACTCCTCAATATTTTCATTTCGAGTCTGACGTCTCAAAACTGGAGAGGTATTATTAGGTTTTTCAGTAATATTCCTGTGCTGGTATACCAATACATGAGCTAGATGATCGGCTATATTAGGTTGAACTAGTTTACATTCATAACTAGATTGCGGAAGACTGGTCGCCATATAATCAATACAGGTTGAACTCCTATGAGCGTTTCTATTGGTGAATACTCTGGTGGGACCTAAATAATTATTATTGAGTTGATGTGAATTAAAAATATCTAATATAAGCTTAGTATTCATATCATATTTCTGGTAATTTATGTTGAAATCTCCACAGACAATTACTAAATTAGAACGGTCAGTGGCTACATTCAGTGCTTCAGTTAACCTAGCTGTACACTAGAAGTTTCAATTTTTCCTATAAGCTTAAAAATATATTTTTACAGGTCAGGTTGTCACCTGATGATCTTGCAAGTCAAGAACTGGCGCTCTGGAGGGAACGCGAAGCCAAACATTCGCTAGATATGATAAAGAAGTCAGAATTGGAGTTGCTCAACTGTAACAGGCAGTACGTCTTGAAAACCCACAAAGGTGAGTTTATCAGTCATTTTTCGCCTATTGAAATGTCCGATAGCTATTTAATTCCTTACATAAAAGTCTTCCTTCTATTACAGGTGAACAAGTCGTCGAGGACGATAGAGTAGATAAGATCGACAATACCGAGGTCATAAAATCACTGACTGAAGGCGCACCTCTGGATTCTGGCGAGCTCAAGAAAGACCTCTCGAAAGATAATGAAAAGAAGAGTGGTACGAAGAACAAAGAAAGGGATCGTGATAGAAAGAGCGGCAAGGACAAAGAGCATCGCCTTCACAGGTCTTCTAGTAAAGATGATAGGTAAGTGTTTTCAATATTGATTTTTCGAAGCTGTAGTTGGGAAATGTTAAGAAAAATATACATAGATACTTCATTTAGTCACGATTCAGTAGGTGATGATTTTAAAATCTAAAAAAAGGTAGAATACTTGAAAAAAGAATTCATGCAAATGTGAAAAGAGACAAATTAGCAGAACCCACTGGCCTTAAAATGAATATTAAAATTCAAAATGGTTCTAATAATAATAATAATAATAATAATAATATTTATTGATTTCTGTATACTCTAGTTTTCATCTTTCACATGCTAGTTTTATACTTGATAATGGGGTAAAATCCGAAACCGATCGTAAAAATAAAATAACTAGTGGAAATTGGACAAATCTTTTTATTCATTTCATTTAAGTGATTATGAATTTCTACAAAATGAACGAGTCATCAATCACACGTATTTGATTAGATATAGACTAGAAGAAATTGTGTGTTTATAATATTTTTGAATAAACATTTGGACCACTTGGGAGAAATATTGGGGATTTATGTGATTTAAATTTTACACCCTCAAGAAAGGAAACAATTATTTCACAAAACTTATTGATATCTTGCGTGTTTTCACCAACTGTATTAAAACCATTTTGAACTGCTTTCAATTTTCACGAGAAATAGCTACATTATGATTACTATCCAGTAATTAATTATTGGTATTTTTACTTATTCTGTTAATGTTCAAATAAATGTTTAATTCATTATTAAATCAGAAACAATCACATATTTGTATATGTGAAACGATCACATATATGTAGAATCTTGTATACTAATTGAAAGCTACACTTGAATGAATGAATGAATGATAACATTTCTTCTGGGGACAGGGATCGCAGTAGAAAGAGATCAAAGAGTCGGGACCACAAGCACAGCGAGCACAAGAAACATTCGAAGTCGAAAGATCACGACAGAGATAGGCACCGGAAGTCTTCGCACAAGACGTCAAGACACAAGAAAGATATTGTCTCTTCGACGGACAAGCTCGACAAAAAGTCCAAGGAAATTCTCGAACAGCTGGTTGACAGCAAAATCGTCCCTCCACTTGAAGACAGGTTGTGGAAACACGTTCCGCAGGATGATATTTTACCAGGTAAGGGTAAGTGTATAATGTCCTTTCTATGATTCCTGTTTTGATTTTGGTTTAGATGGGGAATTAGTTTTCTGATTTTTGTATGTCTCTGGCATACAGAGACAGGCTTGTCTGGCTATAGTGGTGCCATCAGTATCACACCGTTAGCGGCCATGGAGATCCTTCTAGATCTACCTCCTCTCCACATTTTTCTGTAGAGAGAGGCTAGATGGACTGCATACAGACTTGTGCACATTGCCAATTGCACAAATCAATTTAATGCAGAGTGCAACTGGCTGTTGGTTGACACAGGAAGTCACAGCGTTCTGGAAATGACCTCTGACTTCATGCCTCCAACTTTCAACTATGAACTGCCTTATAAAGTACTATTCTCGAATAAAGAGGACTGAATCCTCCGGGAGAAGGAAATATTAACAGCAGATAGTTGTTGGTTTACTGATGAATCAAAAACACCTACCGGTTCTGGTGCAGGTGTTTTTAGTCACAGACCCAGGATAGAGGTATCTACCTGCCTAGGAACTTATGCAATTGTATTTCAAGCGGAAATGTATGCTATTGAATTGTGTGCGGAGAGATTGGATAAATCCAACCTCACACACAAGTCAATAAAAATATTTTTGGACAGTCAAGCGGCATTGGAAGCTCCTGGCTCCTACCGAGCAACGTCTAAATTGGTAGCAAATTACCAAAAACGATAGGAAGACTCAACAGATTTTCTCTGGTCTGGATTCCTGGCCATACTGGCCTGGAAGGCAATAAAGCTGCTGACTCCCTTGCAAAGGAGGGTGCTGCAAGCAGCATCATCGGACCAGAACTTGTCATTGGCATCGCTTTAGGCTTTGCCAAACAAACTTTGAACACCTGGATGGCAAGAAGATTCATGGACTTCTGGCAGAATCTTCCAGGATTGGCTCACTTCAAGGCGTTTATTCACTCTTCGAAGCTTGATACCAAACAGATCTTGGACTACCGTAGGGATGATGCAGAGACTCGGACTGTCGGAAGACAGTGTGTGTCGCCTCTGTTTGGAAAATGATGAAACAGCAGAGCAAATACTTTGAGCCTGCCCCGTTGGGGACCGAATCAGGCAGAGCCGTACTCTTACCATCTGACCTGAAAGACCACTTACCATACAAACTAATCGGAATACAAACTATGAGGAAGCTATAGAGGAAGTTGAATGAATTTAGGAGGAGAGTATCAAGAGATGAAGGGGGGTGAATTGGGAACGAAAGAGTGAATAGAGAGTAAAAAAAATTATACACTTGAGAAAGAAAGATATAAAAGAGAGTTGAAGCAAAACGAAGAATCTTAGGGTTTTATTATTGAAATTGGGTAAGACTGTGTTGTCTTTTCATTATCTAGAATAGTTATTGAATCTCGTAAGTTCAGCTTCACACTAAAATAAGACACACAGTTGTACATAAAAAAATGAATGTTCGAAATGAAATATGTTTTAATGAACGTTAGTGTTAATTTGAAAAGATATAATATCTGTTTGCAAATAAAAAAAAATATTAAGAAGTAAATTCAAGCAAATAGCCATTGGGATTCCATTTTTGCATGTAACCGGAAAGTCACGATGTTTTCACAAGTAGTTTACTCAATTTTATTTTTCACCGATGAGGTTGTTATAAAAAACCTCTGAAAAAATAGTTTGGAATGTAGGTATGTGTGAAAACGACATGTGGCTCCATTTTCCTAGTGAGAATAGAAAAATTTTAGTGAAATTAAAGAGGAAGAAAGGATAAAGGGAGATCAATTATGAAGTGAAAGAAATGCAAATGGAAAAATCAAAACAGGGTAATAGAGATATTATTGAAGCCTTTTGTGGATGGGCGGATGATTGAAGATTTTTACCAAAGATGGTAAAAAATTTTACAATTTTATCACATTATTTCATAATTTTTTCAGAGTAGTGCTCAGTAATTCTATTTTTCAAGTGATCACCAAGAGGTAATTTTGTTTTTAGCAATAGAGAGCGACAGCGATCATGAACCTTCATCTACGGTGACAATCCCGACACCTCCCCGAATTCCAGAGAACGACGAGTATACAGGAGGTCAAACACCGGAAGGTGAAAAGAACCGTAAGTATTTAAAGACATATTTTTCATTTCGACTCAATTCATTCACGGACAATAGATGTCCATACGGTGAAACAAGTCATAAAGGATTTGAATGCTAGTGAAGCTTTTGATTTAGATATCATTGACTGCCAAAGAATGTTTCGAGGAAGCTTTTTCTTCTAGTTTGTTCCTAAAAGTAACATGCTTTCATCCTCAATTTGAAAGTCTCCCATATTTTTTTGTGTAACGATGGAGAAGTATAAAACCAAAACAACATTTCTTTTCACAAGAAATTACTTGCACACTATATTTTATATGCGAATAAAAATACCAATAACCTTTGTATTATTTTCCAGAACCGATATCGCCTGACAAAGAAAAAGACTCTAGTGACTTCAGTGGTAGGAGCACTCCCCCTCCCCCTAAATCGAAATCTAGTGAGATCTGGCGAGGAATAATCAACATGATCGACGTTGCGCAGATTTCCATATCGGCACACGAAGTTTCTGGTGAGTACCTTTGACATTCGAGGCCCAGAATTTTGTTTCTATCAATACCGTATTTTTCTTGTAGGTGATTGTTCCGGTTTAGGCAGGGAACTGTCCAGCAACCTCGACATCGTTGGTCGCATTTCACCGGACACAGTGTGGGACTACATCGGTAAGATGAAGTGCTCGAACAGCAAGGGCATATCGCTGATCAGGCTGAAGGCAACCAACGTCGAAGAGAAGATGCCCTACCTGGCGCTCTATAGCTACCTCAGCAGTAGAGATAGGTTGGGCGTCGTTAAAAGTTTGAACAAGGCCGTCAAGGATTTTTATATATATCCGCTGGCTCCTCAGAAGCCCATCCCACAGGTGTTGTTGCCGCTCAATGGACCTGGTAAGGGCAAGACTATTTTTGAATTGGTTTGACATTTTTTGAATTGTACCGAGGCTTGCGAGAGTTACAGACTGGAAAGAATATATTTTATTGTTGATTTTGACTTTATCATTTCAATAGCATTTTATAGTACATGTATTTTTGTCTTATCTATGTTCAGATTTCTTTTGACTTGTTTTATATCTTTTAGATCTTTGAAACAAATGAAGATTATTATTATACCGGTAATCGGTATGATTTTTTTGCGGAATTCTGGCGATTATCAAGATTTTTTTTTAACACTGACGTCTTCAACAAAGGTTTTTTTCGCAGAATTCTGATGCTCATCTCAATTTTTCTGAAAATTCTGAAGTTTATTGCGAGTTTTAATAAAAATTCTTGCATTCATCACAATGTTTTGAATTCTGACAATAATCACGATGTTTTGAATTCTGACATTAATCACGATTGTTCTAGAATTTGTGATGCTTATAACAGCACCGTTTTTATTCAATATTTAAGTTGTGTTATACTAATATTGTTAGTGTTATCAACATTTTGAGTAGAATTATATTCTTTCATACAATTTATCATTTAAGATAATGACCTTCTTCTTTTCTGAAGTACCACTGTATTTTAAACACAACTTTTTCAATAAGAATGCACCGTTCTTTGGACAATAAAATTTCTTCCACTTATAACGATTTTCTTGGAATTCTGACGTTTATCGCGATTTTTCAATCAAATTTGTGACTTAGCGTAATTTTGACGATTGTCAGAAATTTTTCTTGATATTTTAACTTTTATTACGAAATTTTCACGAAAACTCGTACTTTTTTAACAGGCGTTTACAACGATTTTTCTCGAAACTCCGACATTCATAAAGAGTTTTTCAAAATGATTGCGTTCGTCATGATTTTTTCTCAAAATTCTGACTACCACTATTGCTCTAAAATTTGTTGCGCCCAAATGGTTTTTTTCCCGTAATTCTGACGTTTATAACAAGACTTTTTCAAAATTTAAACATTCATAATGTCTTTTCTAACAATTCTTTCATCTATACCTTTTTTTCTTTCCAAATTGTGACGTTGATCACAATTTTTCTAGAATTCTCTTCTGACGTACGATTTTTTCCCGCAATTATGACGTTTTTTCCCCGCAATTATAACGTTTTTTTCCGCAATGATGACGTTTTTTCCCCGCAATTATGACGGTTTATCACGCAATCATGACGGGTTTTCCCGCAATTATGACGAGTTTTCTCGCAATTATGACGAGTTTTCTCGCAATTATGACGAGTTTTTCAAACAATTATGACGTTTCCCCCCTGCAATTATGACGTTTCACAATCATGACGTTTTTCCCGCAATTATGACGTTCCCCCCCGCAATTATGACGTTTTCCCCCGCAATTATGACGTTTTTCGTTATTTTTTCTCAAAATTGTGTCCTTTCACGGAATTTTGACAATAGTCACAATTTTTTTTGAAACATTGTCGTTTTTTCACCAAAAATTTTTTACCAAATTTTTTTTACCAAAACTTGTACAATTTTTCTCGAAATTCTGAAATTTATTATGAGTTCCTAAAATCATTGCAATCATTCTTTTTTTTTTCCAAAGTCTGACATTTATTACCACTGCTTTAGGAATTATTATGCTGAAACTTTTTTTTCCATAATTCTGAGTTTATTACAAGGTTTTCTCGAAATTTTAACATTCATATTATCTTTTTTAAAAACCCTTCGGTTTACCCCTTTTTTCCTCCAAACTGTGACGTTGATTACTATTTTTCTAGAACCTTTTGTGACATACGATTTTTTTTTCTAATGTTTATTTTTCGAAATCCATGCGTTCATCATGTTTTTTTTTCTCATGTTTCCGACGTTTATCATAGTTGCTTTTGAAGTTGTTGAGCTCGCACAATGTTTTTCTTGTAGTTCTGACATTTACTTTGAGTTTTTCTCAAAACTGTAACGTTTATACGTGTCGGAATTTCGAGAGTTGTCTCTGAATTTTCAAATTTCCAAATTATAACGATTTTGATTAAAATTTTGGACTTTATTAAGGTTTTTTTATTGAAATAGTGTGTTTATCGCGATTTGTCCGGTAATTATGATATTTATTAATAAATAATAGAGTTTGGATATTCATCTATAAATAAAAAATCATGGAAACTCTTTTTCATGCTTTTTCTGAAAGTTCCAATGTCGTACGTTATGATTTTTCCCAAAATTTCAACGTGTATTACAAATTTTTTACCTTTATCACCTCTTTTTCCTGGAACTGAAATCATAAAATAGGATAAAAGGAATTTTCCCTATTTCAAGGGATATACAAGTTATCTTGGAATTGAAATTTTTGTTAACGACTTCAAATAATGTAGAAAAGTAGAAAGCTTCAAACATTTTTTTCTCAAAACAAATCTTCAAAAATAATCCTTTTTCAATAATTAATTTAACAGGTAGTCAATATTCATAAGTTCATGTTGAAAAAATATAAACTGTGACTACTGACATCTGACTTTATGGATCAGCATTGACAGATGCTTTCCGACAGTACAAACAAAGTTTTTTATTAATAACACAATGTTTTCTTGTGAAGGTTTTGAAGAATCCAGACCTTCCCTCCTGCTCGGCATTATCGTGCGAGACAAGAGAAAACGACCCTATATGGATTCTCTGATCATGCCTTCGCCGATTTCCCAATCAAAAAAATTAAGAGTGGAAACGCCTCCACCTTCCTTACCGGCAGTTGCTGTTCCAAGCGTTCCTGAACCGCCACCGCGGTCGTATACCCCGCCCCCCGCCAAAGACCCTCGTCGGAAACTGCCTCTCATGTTGCCAACGGTCGAGACCACACCGACAGCTGACGAAGGTGAGTGACATTTGTTTTTAATGGTAATAATAATAATAATATTTATTTATTTGGTTGAAAAGTACAGTTGACAGAAATCTATGCACAATAAACAAAATGTCAATTATAAAAGTAAAAGTAAATGTAAAAACATATTGTTGATTACTACATGTAACTATATTATAAGTCACTCAAAATAATATAAACAACACAATAACACAAACAGTGATAAACATCCATAATTAATAAAAGTAACATATAAATATAAAAATATTAATGTAACTAGTGATAGTAGTGATAGACCATTAAAAAAAACCAATAAAATATAATCAACACACAATTTCTCAAGTATTGAAAGTAAACACTTTAAAAAATGTGCTAAAGCTCAAGATCTCAGGTTAGTTGATTGGTGAATTCTTGAATGTCGTAACAAGTCCCTTGAAGTAGCATTAAGATTTCATAACCTAAGAAGTGGACTGGACTGCTCGCAGAACCGTTAGTATTTTTGTTATTAAACTTTTAAATCTAATAAAATCACTTTTCTCATATACCAACCGAGTCGACGTCAACATGAGTTGATTTCAAATGGTCCCAAATTTTAACTCAAGATTATTGAAATCCAGCTCCCATTTTTTACAGGCTTATGTTTGGCTTGCAGTTTTTGTATATATGTTTGCTTATGTCAAATGTTGTAACTATGGTATGTACAGAAAGTACGGGGAAATTTTCAATTTCACTGGTTGAAGAGTCATGAAATTTTGTTTCATTATGTAGGTATACATAATCTGTGCCCGAAGTATGATAACATTTTCAAAAGTATTTTTTGTTTACTTTGTCTGTGCTAGTTCTAAGAAGGTTAGAGTTCGACGATTTTCGTTTATTAATACAAATTTTGGGTGAAAAAAGTAAAGTTTAACAAAGTCTGTGAAATGTTAACAAAGCCCTCTTGTAGTTTGTTATGAGTGAAACATGAGTCTACGAATGTTATAATCGTTTTCAAGATGGCTCTGAAGATGTTGAAGATGAGGAACGCCCCGGCACATCAACAGCTGATGAAAACGTGGAAAAACTGAAAAAAATGGTTTTGAACGGTAGCCAAATCACAACTATAAAAGTCGCTGATGATTTGCGTGGAAAAATGGCTTTTGCACCACGATAATGCATCTGTTCACACTTCATTGCTCGTTTGTGAATTTTTGGCCAATAACAATAGTATAACGATGCCTCAGCCTCCATATTCTCTAGGCATGACTCCATGTGACTTTTTACAATTTTCAAAGGTTAAGAGAACCTTAAAGGGCCGTCGTTTTACAAGCATAGATTGGACATTGAAAGTGCATTGCTGAAAGGACTAAAGGTTATTCCAAGGATCTAGTTTGAGAAATATTTCGAGGATTGGTAGAAGCACTGGCACAAATGCATAATATCTGTTGGAGAATATTCAATAAAGTAGATGAATAAATGAGTATTTTTTTCAAACAACGTGTTGAGTTTGTATACAATGCATGATTAGCTAAAGGCCTAGTTTTTTTGTTGTGCATCTCCATGATAGGGGTTTGGTGAAAAGAATATGAGATATGAAATGACGTCTCTCTAAGTACAATATGGCGATATCCCAAAGATGGGGGACTGTTTTTTTTTGCATCCCCATGATATTAATATCAAATGAAAGGGTCAAGGGAAGAACTCAAAATGGCGGAAACAAGATGGCCACCGTACCAAATCGAAAGAGTTACATCTTGGCAAAGGTCAGGACAATCTAGCAATTATTCAATGAAATGTACAAACAATGGAACGTATCCAGCGATAACTGAAAAATAAAATAGAAATAGTAGAAAAAAACGTTTTAAAACAACCTTTTGTCTACATGATCTTTCTATATCGAATATTGTCAAAAAATCAATTTTGTGTTTTTCAAAAAGTTCTATGAAAAATACATGACAATTTTTTTCATAATTATAATACTTAAGGAAAAATTTGAGAAAATCCGAAAGTTTGAAAAATTGTCTTTCAATAGTGGGGAACCTCACAGCAGACTTGAAATATTTGGTATATATTGTCTGACGAACAAAGAGAGACAGACTCAAATTTTCACCAGATTTATGGAAACGAATTGAAACTACTATCTGGTAGTTTGGTCTCAATATTCGGATAATTGATAACTATTAATGGTTTCAAACGATTATGGACTGTAAAATTGAAAACACTACTATTCAATTTAGGATTGATAGTGTTCACACTACTTTATTGTCTCAAAATCAGATATTAAAATTGTGGAAAATAAATATGTCAGGTTTTGTATCTGTATAGTAATGAGGGTGAGTGTAAGCCCACAGTACTTAGGCCACATGTGACCCATTGTACATCCTCCCGAGGAGTTGGCCTCCTAGGTCATCGTCCATTCTGTCCTTTCCAGGAAGATGGACAGGTCACTAGGAGACATCTCCTTTATATCGGCAGGTGAAGGCCAAGACTCGCCGAACACACACTCTCTTTGGCAATCTTGAGGTGCCTCACGGCGACCTTCGTGAAGGTTTTGGAAGGTGCAGCGACATTATTGTTGTTGCGCAGCTTCTTCAACCATCTTGGGGTTTCCTCCATGGAGGTGCTCAAGTAAGGGCGCTGCAGGGGCGCCGGTTTCTTGCCTTTATTCAAGGCGGAGCTCTTGGCGCCCGTCGCAGAAAGTGCCCTTGCTGTTGGAGGTGGAGTGGGGGAGGAGGAGGATGCACTTATAGTTGCTGCCACTCCTGCATCGTTCGCTCTTTATCTCTTTTTGGCCTCGGCGCCGCAAATACGCTTACGCCTTGGCCTTTGTCATATATCACGAGGTGACCTGCCATGTTCAGCCTCATTCCGAGCGGTGGATTGGGATGGACATTTCTGTTCATCCCCAGTCACCGCCATATATTGAGGTGAGCATTTCTGTCCAGCCTCGGGATTGTATTTATCAAAACAGATAAAACAAAGGTTATTTGTATCAACAGTCAACAAATTAAATTTCATTTCATTTCGTCTTTATTTGTCTCAAGAAAATTTTACATTTTATAGACACGTCCAAACCTTAACCCAAATTACTAAAGATAGATGATAGAATAATTTGTAGTCCTGGGAATATAATCGAGGTTGACAATGATTGTGATATGGGATATAAATTTTTGAATTTATTTATTGAATTAGGATTCCCTAATATACAGGTTAGCTAACTTAAAATATAATATAATCAACAATTTATATAAATAATACAACTTTATATACATACATAATTTGAACTGAACAAAAAGGAATTTTTCAATGTCCATTATGGATAATATATTTTAATAGTTCGCTCTTGAAAATCTTTAATGAAAGAGTAGATTTAATTGAATCAGGTAAATCATTGAATTGGACAAAACTTTTAAAAAATAAACTGCTCATACTATTTCTTGTATTTGTTCTATTTATATGAATGTGACTGTTGTGCCTAGTAGAATGGTGATGAATGTCCTTATTGAAAGTTATTAATGATAGAAAGTATGGTGGGGTCATTTTATTTAATATTTTATAAATGAAAACCATGGAACAATAGAATAATCTTTTGGATACTGAGAGCCATTGTAGAGCAGATAGCATGGTAGAAATTGGTGTATATATACCTATTATATTTTAAAATTATTCTCATTCCTCGATTTTGTAATTTTTGTATTTGTTGCACTTTGTTCAAATTAAAAGAGAATAAAATAGATGCACAGTAGTCAAAATGGGGTTGGATTATTGATTTATATACCATAATTGTTGTATCTGTTGATAAGTTATTGGCGATTCTTGAGAAGAAATATAATTTTGCAATATTTTTTTCAATATATTTGAAGTGGTCGTCGAATGATAAGCAATTATCAAGTTGAAATCCCAAATACTTCACTGATGTTACTATTTCTATACGTTCTTCTTCAGTTTTTATATTTATGTTGTTTGTATTTATTTGATCATATTTGAATTCAGTAGTAATTATCATTGCTTTTGTTTTTTTAACGTTAAGTTTCATTTTATTGGTTTTCAGATATTTTTCTACTTTCTCTAGAACTTTATTCATTCTGCCAACAGTTTCTTCTAAATTTGCTCCAGTACAGGCCGATAAGGTATCATCTGCAAATAAGTTGATGAACTCACAGTCTGTAAATAATTGAATATCATTCAGATACAGAATGAATAATAGGGGACCAAGCACACTACCTTGTGGCACTCCAGTGTGATTTGTTATATATGTTGAGAAATAATCGTTCACACGTACTCTCCGTTTCCTATTTGATAGATAATTACTTATCCATTCATAAACCATCCCCTCAAGCCCATATATTCTCAGCTTCTGAAGAAAAATACTTCTATCAATCGTTTCAAAGGCCCTTTTGAAATCTAAAAAGACAGCTACAACATATTTACCTTTATCTGTTTCATAAGTAAATTTAGTTAATGATAACTGTAGTGCTGTTTCACAAGAATGTTTTTTTCGAAAACCAGATTGATTGCTAAACATGATTTGATTTTTGTCAATAAACTCTAATGATTGATTATATACTGCTATTTCTAAAACTTTCTCTATTGGCGGTAAGGTATTTATAGATATAAATTCACTTGTTTTTATAGTGTTTGTAACTTTAGGTATGGATATAATGGTACTTATTTTTAATAATTCGGGCAACTGACCATTCTGGAGCGATGTATTGATTAAATTGAGGATTGCATGACCAGCTGTTTCAAATACTTGCTTTAACATTTTAGAATTCAAGATTTCATGGATACTACATTTATTATCTAATGACCCAATTATATCATTCAAATATCTTAAGGTAATCAATCTGAAGGTGCTGAAGGGCAAATATAAATTATTATCCAAATTGAACCATGGTTCGGAATTCTGAATATCTAGGATTATATGTTGGATGCTGATTACAAAGTATAGGTTGAAAGTTTTGGCCAGGTCAGGTTCACCTTTTTTAGTACTTACTACCCCTTCATCTTCAAATTGGATTAGGTTAGGAAGTCTATGATCATTACTATTAACGAGGGTTTTTGAGGTTTTCCAGATGTTGTTTTTCAACTTACTTATTTGTATGGGAGAAATACTATTGACAATATTTAAAGAATAAAAACATATATGATCTACATACAAGATTAAATACATTTTAATGTTTGATTTGATTTGATAAATGGAATAATTTTACTTTTCAGATGAGCCTTACAGTCCGGAAGACTCTGATCTGGATGCCCCAACACCTCGCCCGCAGCCAATTCTGAATATCCCAGACTCTTCCATAACAGAGCCTACCATACCTCCACCTACATACCCGTCTCTGCCAAGTACGTACCACCCATTTCATAGATATTTCGGAGTTATATAAAAAATTGAAGCAAAATTTCATTGTTATTACATTATTTATTTTAGGTATATCTGGAAATCTTCCTTCGACAACGTTCGAAATCCAGAGGCAGATGGAGGAGCTAAACAAAAAGATTGAGATGCAGAAGTCTGAGATTACGAGCATGACACAGAATATTGTTTCCGCTTCTTCAGAGATCGGAACTTCTGCCTTGGCAAGCATAGCGTTGCCTAGCAACCTGCAGCAAATACTGGACAGCATCAAGACGATTGGAGATGTAAGTCCAGTTTTATTTTTGATTCACATAAATTGTTTTAAAATTATTGTTAAAAGGAAGAAAATTCACAATAACGTCATTAATGACCTCTCATTATTTTTGACCTCTTGGTTGACTTATCACAAATTCTTTATTGTTGACATCTAAGAACAGAATCATGAACAGAGCTTTTGATTTTTGAAGAAAATTATTAAATACCGTCAAAATACAAAATTTTTAGGATTTGTACATTGATGAAATACTCTGTTGGAATACTTATATTGAGATGATAAAAAAAATCGTGCAGTGTAGATAGCATACCATCAGCAATATTGAAAAAAATTCAGAGTACATATATGTGAACCCTTGGCAAACATAATTAATGAAAGCTTATCAACTGGTATATATCCAGACGACCTTAAAATAGCTGAAGTAGTTCCTGGCTACAAGAAAGGTTGTAAGACATCAATAACTACCGACCAATATCAATTACTCCCGTCGCCTGGTAAGATATTTGAATGTGTGATATATAATAGGCTCATCTCATTTATAAACTTAATATTGTGGATGTCCATCAATTTGGTTTCATATGAGAAATATCCACCAAATTACCGATATTTAATGCAGTTAAACAAATAATAGAGAATGCTGCTAGCTAAAAAACCTTGGTAGGCTTGTACTATGACCTCTCAAAGACTTTCTGAAGATTTCTGCACTGACGCCTGTCAGATATAATCCAACGCCGTTCGTGGTATTAGCAAGTGGAGTAGTTGTTTTCTGATAGGCGTCAGTCTAGTCAACCTATTGTGTAGGTATATCTGAGACTGGCTTGAACATTTAAAGTTCATTGCTTTAGATTTGTTTACTGCCTGTCTTCAAGCATAGCCCACTGACTAATAAGAAAGTTTTTCTTCCTTATTCAGAGGAATCGGGCAAATTTCGGATATGCAATTGGTTAGTACCTCGTCCACTAGATGGAGTGACATTTTTGTTGTTCGCTCTAACTTAAGACGAGGAATGATACTCCATGCTTAAATTCAGTTAGGAATAGTCAAATAAAACAAAGATTCGATAAGAAAGTAAAAGCATCTAAAGGCTGACTTTCGACCAAAAAAGAGGTCAGATGTCAATCTTGCTGAAGTGCCCATCAGCAATTTGAGGACCGCTCGGAGAGCGGGGGTGGATGGAGTGGGGTTGTAGGTTCTCCTCGCTTAATAGCTGGGGGGGAAGCTTCTACTTCAGGGCACTCAACCCGGGAGGGGGCATGGGGGGGGATTTTCAATTATGGAGTATCATTGACTTTAGGTCGATGATGGCTACTATCTTGCACTGACGAGTGGCTAAGGAGCCCGAAACCAATCTGCAAGTGTTCCCGTTCCAAAATTGAAGGTTGGCTCTTTCAGTTGTATTGCCAATTGCATATGAAGAAAATTTTCTGTGAAGATTCCTGCACTAACGTCTGCCGGATATAATCCAACGCCGTTCGTGGTATTATCCAGTGGAGTAGTTGTTTTCTGATAGGTGTCAGTCCATTCAACCTACTGTGTAGGCATATCCGAGACAGGTTTGAACATTTAAAGTTCATTTTTTTAGATTTATCTCAAATGTATTTGATATATTTCAACGTATAATATTTAATTTCAATTTAAAGAGAAATGAAAATTTCTATGTTTCGTCCATATAGGACGAAACTGCAGTAATGTTAGTTACAATTAAAAGTGGTAAAAAACATAGAAATTTTCATTTCTCTTTTCATTATGATCTCCTACCACGTAATAACGGCTACATCCATCAATTTATCAATTTCAATTTATTGAACAACTAATTCATGAAAGAATAATTTTGACTCTATTACTTTGTTCAAAAATCGTGAGTGAGAGTGAGTGTGTGAGAAAGAAATAAGTTTTGAATGAAAGCAATTGAGCTATTTTGAACTCTTTATGCTTTTTTAACTTGATTGATTGATTTTTACTCAATTTCAACATTCACTTTAAAATTATATCTGAATTATTTCTTACTATATTCCATATTTGTTTTTGTTTTTGACGGTAGTTCAAATGTTCAATTTTTTTTGGATGTATGGTTGTTTTTTAGATTTTATAAAAATATTTCTTCATTCTCTTGTAAGTTTAATTCAGGCTCTAGAACTACTTTTTTTTTCAGACGACAGACGCCCCTCCACAACTACCCAAAGAGTCTGCGCAGACGGACCTCACCATCCCGCTGATGATACCGAAGAGCTTCTCAAGGCCTCTGGGAGGGAGCGGGCCGAACCAGCCGCCCCCGTCGCAGTACCACCACACGAAACCGCCGCCGGACCTTCCCAGTGACACAATTCCGCTCAACTTGCCGGTCAAACCGAAAATCAAACCAGCTTCAATCAATTCGCCCCTCACTGAAGAAAAAAGTAGCGTACTCAGTTCCTTAACGGAGGAGGAGTTGATTAAGAAGGCGGCTGAGATGCTCGGTGAGGATGAGGATTCGATGAGCAGGAAGAAGCGAGGTGATAGGTTGTTGGGGACGGGAGGACCGCCGCCGCAGAAGAGGTCCAAGATGGAGGAAGTCATTTTACCTCCCGTGCCCGGCATGGAGGACGGTCAGCTGTAATGGAAGCGGTAATCGAGGGGGATAATCGAGAGAGAAGCGGGAGAGTTGACATGGTGAGTTGAGAGGGAGAAACCGTGTACTGGCATAGGATAACTTCAAAGACAAATACTGCTTCCACAGACCGGAACTGTAACACTCTTAAGGTGTGTTTCAAAGAGTTTGCAGTGCTGGTGTGTGAGTGTAGTATTTGTTTTGGAGAATAATGTCTAAATTTTTGAGTTTACAAAATCCCAAGTTCAGAGTTGGAGCTTAACTTTGCTTTTCACCTAATATGAAATCGCTCTCTGTTGCTTTATAGCTTTTGCTGCAAACTTGGTTCAAATATTATTCAGTCTTATTCCAAGAATAAGTTTCAGTATCAAATAGCATATAAAATAGAATGCTAGGAAAATTTATAACACAACAATTAAAAAATAATACAATTGAATAAAATAACTATAAAAATAAGAATGAAATTTAAGATATGAAAAATAGTTCGCATCTGAAATGTGTTTCAAAGGACGTGATATGAAAAAAGTAGAATTGAAACCTGTAAAAATTTAAAACTTCAAATTTGTAGTGAAGAAACATGAAAGTAAGAATGGAAGTATTTTGAAATTTAGAATTTTTGACTTTCGATCTGATCCCTCTTTCTTCAAATATATTTTAAGAAATAATTTTTCTATACCTAATCCTTTCGTATCTTCCTTAAGCTTTGTATTCGATTTTAACTCATATACCCTCTTTTTTCAGATCTCCTGAATAAATTATAAAAATATTTGATTGCGATCAACAAGACACTCGAGAAGTATGTGCAATTCGGTGCATTTTTATAAAAACTGTAACGAAGATTCCATGGGAGTTTTGCTGCCTAATGTTTATTGATAATGTTGGAGACATTTGTAAAGTATAACATTTTTGTACAGTTTTAAATTTAATAGAGAGCCTAGAGTAGTAACTAAAAGTAAATGTAGAGATAGGATGGTACCTGTAAATATTTTATAGAATTATATTTTGTGGAGTTATTGATTGTATCAGTTACATATATTTATCTTTGAAAGACAATTCGATATGTTTCATTTTTATTTTCTTGTTGTATATCTTTTTATCGATTGAATTAAAAACTATTTACATCATGTGCTACTTTAGTTTTATTTCAAGTGACTGAAGATGGGTTTCTTATGGTATCATTTCTGCAGAAGTGTTTTCACTATTTTTGATATTTTTGAAGAGTTCAAAGAGCCAAAAATGAACTTGAACTGGCGGTTGAAATGGGGCCGATTTTCTTTAACAAAACCAATAATATTTTTGTGTTCGTTAATCATAAACTAATGAAATTATTGAACAAAAGACTTTTTTGTGGACAAAATCAAAGTTTTTTTGATGGGTCTTTCTGGGCATTCACACCTACAATCTGAAATAAATGAAAAATTGTAATGGAGAACGTTATACAAACGTACAAAGGGCAAAGTTCTAGTTGACCTCTACAAGTTGTTGTATTTTACCTGGAATATCTAAGTTAAATCCGGTCTCGAAGAACGAAATATTGAAATTCAATGTCAGTCAAAAAAGTTTTTTTTTATTCTCTTTGTTTTAGTTACAACAACTGAACATCAAACTAAATATAATTATATACAGGGTAAATGAGAGAGTAAACAAATAATAATGAATATAAATACTGAACACAAGTTACTCCGCAAATTCAATTTATCTTTATCGAAAGAAAACGCGTTATTTATCAGTAACTTGTCGTATTTATAATTGAGGCTTCAATCTGCCTACTCCTCAAGTAGTGACACGTTGTAAGGGTTTGGTGACTTGACGCCGAGCCTCAATCTGTCTACTCCCAACTGTCGATTCACCTCGCAGAAGCGAGGTGTGCAATGTTATAATGCGGTAATCTTTCAAAAATTGTATAAATATTCATCTTTGACTTAATTTATTTTCAAAATTCCTCGACAGATAAAAGTTTTTCAAAATGTCTTAGAATCAATTTATTTTCAAAATTATTCGACAGATATTAAAAGTTTCTCAACTCTTTCAGGTACAGGAAATTCAAAATTAAACACCCCCTAGATGTACAGCTTTATTTTTTCGCCTATTTTTTGAGAAATTCATCAACAAATCAAATGGAAATCATTCAAGAATGGAAAACAAACAAAAAAATTGAAATTAACTAATTTTTTCAGAAAAATAGAGGTTCAAAATTTAACTCACCATTCCAATAGTTGAAATTTTTCATGAAATTTCTCTAATTTGAAATTGCTGTGATATTTCTGGAAACATGTTTTGTTTTTCCAAAGACAAAGTGGAACTTTACAAACTGAACACAACCAGTTTGTTCTAATCTCAAACTCTCCTGAACTGCAAAGAGCGCATCTCCTTTTACTCGTTCGTTCAGGCTGATGTGCACTCTGTGTAAGCCTCAAAGCCAGACTTCGACAAGGTTTCATTTTCTTTATTGGTATCGTCAATTCAGTTGATGTTCTTGAAGATGATACCAATTTATCAGCGACTAAATGATATATGATACTTCTGCGGTAGTCAATCATTGATAACTTTGGAAGACCAAGTAGTTTGTATAAGATGAACGAATTCACAACAGCAGCATCCAAGAAAAAGAACATTATTCTGTGCCATCACTTTTTACTTTTACGATCAATGCCACAAACGGCTCGCATCTGATCAAACTTATCAACTGCATTCATGTATTTATTATAATCTACAAGAACAGCAGGGCACGGTATATTTGTAATGCTTCCATCACCTCCTTCTCGTCTCACTTCAGTTACGTGATGAGGACAGTGAAAATTCGAGAGGAGATGAACTGCTCTTTTGTCTCGCCATTTATAAGCACAAACTCTCGTGTTACTGCAAAACCATTCATAATCACCTCTTTTCATGATCCTATCTGGTGCGAAAATTGGTAAATGTTTTCTATTAGTATTGACAGTAGCACAAGCATATATATGATTATCTACTAAGTCTTTCATCAGACTAACACTCGGAAAAAAAATGTCAAAGTATAGTCTGTGAGATTTATCTTCAATCATTGAAGATAATCTTTTCAAAACCCTGAAACCCAAAGCCTTTTCCACTTCTCCAGCTACTTTGCCTGTGTAGATTTCAAAGTCCATACATTATCCTGTTTCATCACAAATCATCCAGACTTTATTTCCCCTTTTGATAGGTTTTTTTGGAAGATATTGCTTCAGAGAAGATCGATTTTTAAATTTGATCATTGACTCATCTATTGCTATATGTTCATGTGGGTAAATGCATATCCTGAAATTGTCTCTGATGATTTTTATGAAAGGGCATATTTTATACAGTTTATCAAATTGGTTGGTATTTCTTTCAGGCACTCTAGTGTTGTCATTCGGATGAATATTACTCAACATCCATCCAAACCGGTGAACAGTCATCAATTTACTTATATAAGGGTCATGAAAGTCGTGATTTTGACTTCAGTGATCTCTGTACGATGGTAACGTTTTCATGCCCATCAACAAATTTATTCCCAAAAATGTTTTCATTTCAGGTATGTCTGTCAGTTTATATGGTTTCCCAGTTTTCTGATAATTCTGTGCAGCATATAGATTAGTCTGGAAAACTATGTTATTCAATACTTCATCCGAGATAAACTGACAGAAAAGAGTGTAAAGGTGATGGATTATTCAAATCCTTGATATCTTGAGCAACACCGAAAGGTTCTTTGAAATCTTCTGATGGAGTGATCTTATCCATTTTGCACCATTGTGTCTTCCCCATTGCCTTCAACTGTTATAGGGGTGGCAAGTTTTCTGGGTCCCATGTTTCCATGGGTAACGGTGTCTCATCTTCTTTATCAGACATCATTATGTTATCACTATCAAAATTGAATTCAGCTTCTGCATTGGTAATTTCGCAGTCATTATCCCCATCACTATCATTTTCAGACCCAATATCAGAAGATATATCTGCATATTCCTCCGTAGCATCGAGTTCCAGGTTCATTTCATTGTACAGTTCTTCTTCTGTCATCCCAATCAGCGTAAATGGCAAGGGTTCCTTGAAAAATCTCTTGGCCATTTCTGTAAGAAAATATGTGTTGTTGTATGGTGGGACAAATTTTGCACAGGGTTTATTTTCACAGATTATGAATGAAAAATAAACTTATAAATTGAAATAATGAAACAGGTAGCTTACCTATCTTGTCTGAATTATATTTCATATAACAGAAAGGGTTATTACAATAAATGGATACGCTTTTCAACCGAAATTCAAATGGAGAAACACAACGTACTTTACGAATTTCGATTGTTTGCTATTCACAACTAAGGCTAATTACACACACACCGATTTTGGACAGCCGATTTTATACCGGTCGTCCAAATTCCAATTCCGACCGGTGACCGGCGTCGATCACCGGTAGGCATGTGTGCCAGGTCCCGTTCCCACATGTGGTTCACTATTGGAATTTGGACGACCGGTATAAAATCGGCCGTCCAAAATTGGTGTGTGTGTGTGTGTGTGTGTGCATTTAGCGTAAGCGTTTTTACTGTGATTCAGCCTTGAACAGATGATGACGAAGACCAATAGGAGGGAGTTATTTGATGCGGGAAAGAAAATGAACCGACGTACCACGAAGTATAAACTCATTACAAAGCGGGATATATTTTGTCCCAGCATACCTCTTACACCAAAAAATTAAGGCTCAAATTTTGCACCAGGGTACTTGAAAGAGTTGAAATGTCTGATTCAATTTCTTTTCAAAATTTCACGACGGATATCGAAAGTTTTTTAAAGTGTGTAAAAGCCAAATGGAATAAATTCATTATTTCGATTACTGTACATATTTTTAAAAAAAACCGAAACACGTCGAATGTAAATTATAATTTGACATTCTTCAACGTAAAAATGCCATCCCTACCCCCTTCGAATGACAGGTACAACCCCCAATTTTTCAAATGGAAAGTATAGGTTTGTGATATATCGTTTGAAAGGTCTCTTCATTCTTTATTCAAAAATGTTATCGCTTTCAAGTTTATTGCAACAATTAAGATAAAATAAATCAAAATCATGCGGTTACCGAAATTTGATAAAATACACTCAAAATTTATTGCAATATAAGTACTTTTAAATTATTTCATGTTGAGGTATTGATAATAAGAAAGTAAGCAAAAACCATAGCAATGTTCATTTGTGATGATATCCTGTAAATAATTTCCGTGGCAACGTTATTTCAAAACGCCTTGTCAACTTGTTTTGTATGTTTCAACATTAGTTGTCAGTACTTTAATTTAAGTTTAAAGTTCGTTGACTTCAAGTCTGATAAATGGTTAGATTAACGGATTTGCATAAAATAACAGTTTTATAAGTGATTGGTTACAGAGATAATACCCGAACACAACAGGAAGTAGTTCGCCTAATTTACCGCCCATATCTCAAGGAACAATAAGCAAAATAGAGAAACAGTTTCGCGAGCTTTGTCATGTGGGGCAGATGAAAAAAGCAGCTGCTAATGCAATGAGTGATGAACTCAAATTCGATGTGATGCTTGAGTTGAGGGCAACTTGAATGGCGATAATTATTTGGCACTACTTCAAAATGATGTCATTTCAAGTTTAGCAAATTTATATCCTGATCCAGGAAACCCTCAAGTCCCAGTGAATACAATATGATTTCAGCAGGATGGAGCACCACCACATTACCAAGTTAATGTCAAGCATAGAAAATGTGGAATTGATTGGTGGTTCTTGTGTTGTAGTCATAAATTTGATTATATTGTATGTAATGAAGGAATCAAAATATTTTGGTAATAAATTTCTGGTTATTTAATAAATAAATATCATACTTGAGTAATACAGTCAATCTGCCACATCATACCACTTGAGGGAACTCAGCATGCATTGAATAGAAGTGTATCTATTACATTTTAAAATAATTCTTAAACCTCGATTTTGCAATTTCTGTAACTTCTGTATATTCTTTTTATCTAAAAGATAAAGCAGAGTGGAACAATAATCAAAATGGGGCTGTATAATGGCTCTGTATATTGTTATTTTTGGAAACATGGAAACATCCGATGAAATCCTGGAGAAAAAAAATAGTAGTCAATTGATTTCAGTTTATGTTTCTTACTAATTATCATAGATTTGG